GGAAAAGGATGTTTCCCCAATCTCCCCCCCAAAAAAACTGTATCGCTATTCTGTCCATTCTTTGCAAAATAAGAGGGGTGGATGGGTATTCACAATTCACGTTCATGAGAAGGCACAGCCAGGTCCAGACGACCTGGATTCAGGGAAACCTTGGCCAAGTTCAGCTGCCACCTGGGCGAGCTCCTTAGCCTCCCTGAGCACCTGCTCCTCAAATGGGGCTGATGCTGCTTCCCTGACAACGCTGGGGGAACAAACGTGCCAATTTGCAAACTGCCTGGTGGAAGGTAAACTCTCAATAAGCGGTAGTTATATTGCTGCTTCACAGAAGTTCAAGTTCTCTTTCCCTTGTCAGGGCTCCAGGGACCCCAGCGTCCTGCTCTCTACGACTCTGAATGTCCAAGTCTGCAGGCCAGCCACCGACTGGTGAAGACCCAGTCTTCCCTTCTGCAAGCCTTGGTCCCTGACCCAAAAGTTCCCATCCTTGTGCAAACAGATGTTTGGCAGAGCCAAATTCAATGTGCTGAGAAGGCGCTTTCAAGAAGCTGACTCTAAGACGGTGCGTGTAACAGATGGGGCTGCCTGGACCTCACAGAGCTCTAAACGGGCTGGCAATTCAAGGCACCTCACGGTGCCTGACTCGGGCAGAAAATAGGTCCCAAACTGATTGCACTGGAACATCTATTTCTAAGAACTGACAGCTACACACAGCTTCGAGTCCCTGGCACAAATTAGCTCTGACCAAGAATGAAATAATGACTGAAAGGTCAGAACAAATTACCTTCTGCCTCTGTACCTTGGTGAAAAAGAAGCAAGAACATCACCGCTGCTTCATACACAGAAATATTCCCGACACTAAACAGTACTTTCTTCTTGGAGGCTCTTCTTCTTTCAATATTGACTTTTCAGTCCCAAGTCAGGCTGGGGGCACAGAGAGGCAGGCATAGAATACCGCTACACCAGAAACAGAGAGGACTACTTCCAGTTACCCACCAGTCACTCACGGATTGGGGTTTGGGAAATGACTAAAGAAACTCCATTTCCACGGAAGGAGAAAACAGCTACTTCTCTGGATCAATTCCCGATGGCAGTTTTACTAATAGGAAGATACAGACTCCCATATCATATTGCTATGTATATTATGGATAGATAGCTCTTCAAAGGGAATAATTAGCAATGTGTCATAAAACAATCTGCAAGCATGATGTGTTCTCTGAATAAAGACTAATGAAAGCCATCCAAATGCTACTTGTCCTCGGTGAAACAGAAGCTTCAAGACATTCATTCTTGCTTCTTTTTCACCAAGGTACAGAGGCAGACATTCACTTTACAGTAAACATCTTTCTTGACCCAACTCTGTGGGTCAAGATAAGGAAGTACACAGAAGACTACAGCGACCCACCAGACTGTGAGTCCCTTGAAGGAAGGGGCTGTCTTCCAGCTTGGGACAGTGTGGCTCCGAGGAATGGGCCCACAGCCATGTACTGAATTAACGTTACAGACAATATCACAAATCTCCTCGAGGACTGTCTGAGTGCTCCCAGGAAGTGAAAAGGAGCCTTTAAAATGTTGTTTTCAGACCTTCCTATCATACTGTACGAGTATTTGGAAAGGACAAGCTTTGCAGTTGATGATCCAAACTCTGTAATGTCCACATAAGCAGGAATGGCTCTCCGGGGGAAAGGTCGGTTTGGTGGTCCTCAAACTCTTTCAACCCCCTGGGAGTTCAAGTCGACCGAATTTCATTCTGTTTGGAAAAGGTTAAAAGAGTAACGAGGCTACAGTCAAAGCTGTCTTGACCACTCCTGGCCTTACTTAAGCTGTTGGCCCTCTGTAGGCCTTGCCTTATGAAACAGACCCTGTTAAATAAAAGTATTTCCAACGAGGCCTGAGACAACTGGCATGCATATCTGAACGACAGTGTTTTTAACTGGGCCTGCACAGTGAGTGCTTGGACCAGTTTACTCTTCCCAATAGATGCCATTATCAGCGTCATTAGCTCAACAAATGTTTCAGTAAACTAAAGCAGATATGTAATTTGAACAAATAGTCAGCTTTTACAGGATTTACACTCACCGCTTCGTTAATTGAATAACGTGTCAACATAACAAAATGGTTGCCTCTTGCTGTCTCAGAGGAGTAACATCTCCCCTGGGCAGAATGTTCCATTTTCTGAGATTCTCCCCAAATAGCAGGGGAATGCAGCCCCAGCGTTTCATTTAAATAGCTAGATATTGTTTAGTTCTGTTGCTTTTCTGTTTAGAACTGTGGAAGAGGCAAAGTAACTAAAATAAGAAAGCACACACAGAAGACTACAGCAACTTCAAACAACTAGCTGGAAATAAAAAGTCACAAGTGATGGGCCGGTGGCTAGTTCTATGTTTTTTGTTTAGATATTGAAACTACACATCTAAACCTCTTTTTCAAGAATACCAAAGACTGGTGATCACACAGATCACTCCAAAAGGAAGGAGAAACTCTGACCAGAAAACATCTGACCGGTAACCTTTACCAAAAGAGTGAAATCACACTAGTCTTTTTGAGTCATTATGCTGAGGCATTTTAACGTGAAATTAACTTTCTTACCATGTCTAGAAATCCCCCAATCTTCCATCCCCACCCCAAAATCCAGCAGGTAACTGCTGTCCAGTGGTAGAGAAAAACTGCAAGATGTTTTACCTGATCTCTCACTGTCAAGAATCCTAACACAGCCCAAAGAGGAGTGGTTACTGAGTCAAGGGTCATGTTACAAAAACTAAAGGCAAAGCCATTGAGATAAATACAAAACAAATTAGGATCCCTGGAGGAGGTTCCAATGGCCTAATTCAAGAGTCTGTTTTAAAAATAGCAACAGAATATCAATTGCTAAAGAGCTGTTTCCTAAAATTACTCTCCTGTTGATATTTCTCATTTCTAAAATGTCGTAAGAAATATGCTCACTGTCACTAATTCTGCCTTAAAAGAAAAGAGCCTTACTAAAGAATACCACCTAAAACAAAGGCATTTATACCAGGAAGTGAATACCCACAAGCACATAAGTATGTTCTTAAGGACACTAAAAAGCAGAAGTCACATTAAGTTTGAAACAATAAGAAAAAAAATAAACCGAAGTTCCTAATTTTAGTAATAATATATATCTCACACAACCCCCCCCCCCAAAATCTACATGAGTTAAGATTTATTAAATTTATATATAGAAACTCTACTTACTTAGGGCTCCCTGCCCTTCACAAAGAGTAGGAAAGGCAGGAGAAAAAAGAATTAACATTTTATACCACATCTATAGAAATGCCGTTTTTGGGTTTTGTTTTGTTTTTTAAATGAAATTCAGGTTTGATTTGGGGGTTATTTTACTTAGTTTCCCATTTGCCAGAAATTTTGAATAGCATTGATTTTTCATTGAGCTTCAGATGGAACAGGGGTGTTAATTTCACAACACTCCCAAAGGTCTGCACTCTTCCCTGATTGGCACTGCTTGGCACTGCTTTTCATAGAGCACTCCCTGTACAACCAACAAGAGCATGGGCTAAGAAGGGCCAGCAAGCCAAAAATAATTACCAAGCACGTGTTCATTTACAAAATTTGGCTTTTCACCACAAATAACTCAAAGGGGCTGACATTTTCTATACTGTAAGGCTTGGGCTCATAAAATGGACCTGTAAAAATAATCTAGTGATCACTTAGCATCAAAAAAAAGATTTCCCCCCACCTATGTCAAGGTAACATTGAAACAAGCTTGTGAGCTTAAGGCTTCAAGAAGTGATGCTTTCCAATGGAGAATGGCTTTGGTGTAAATTCCAATATTTTACAAAACTGCATAGCTTCAAATTCACCATAAAAAAAGATGTCTCTCTTTTTATCATTAACTCCACCAAGAGCTATTTAGCATCAAGAAGCTGTACAACTCATGTTGGTGTTAATTAGGAAAGAAACTGGGATTGGGGGTGGGGGGCAGATGCAATCCTAATGCTTTGATACACTATTAGAAACTCACTAATAATCTAATGAAGAATCTTTTCTGTGGTTGTGCTAAGGATATGAACTGGTGAAGTCTTTTACTGGCTCATCAATAATAAATCATTTCCGAGATAAAATGACAACTTGGTATGGCCTCACCCAATTCCGTGGGGCCCTTCTCTGGTCATTTAAACAACAAATTCCTGTCTGGAATCACCCATTCGATGTGCATTTTTAAGTGAGTCCTGTTTCAATCTGTTAACAAAGTGCCACCAGTAGATCAAGTTGAGGGAGGCAGCTCAGGTGACACACTCAGCACCAAAACGAAAATGGAGTGGGTCACAATCCACTCGTTACTGCCTAGGGACACTAAACGGAGAGGAAAGGAGAGTAGGAAGCTGACTGGACTACTGGACCTCAAGGGGAGCAAGCACTGAAAAGTGCAGTTTAAGTACCTGGGACAAAAGGTACTTCGCCTGCGCTCCCTGGCCGAGGAGCCCAGAGGGAGCTGAGGAGGAGATGGAGTGGGAAAGGGGGACAGCAGGAACCGGGGAAGGAACGGCCGGGAAGGAGCACAAGGGAATGACAGGAACGGGGCAGAAGGGGACCATAAGGATGGGGATGGGTGGGGAAGATAGGGATGGGGCAGAAGGGGTGACAGAGATGGGGCAAGAGGGACAGGGACGGGGCAGGAGGAAAACACAGCAGTGGAACAAGGATGAACAGAGGGACGGGGCTGGGCTGAGACACGGGGATGGGACAGAAAGGTCGACAAGTATGGAACTGAGCCAACGAAGGTCACAACCACATCCTCCCAGCCCCTCGCTGGGTGCTGGGTGCGTGCAGGGCACTTTGAGGCGCTCTCTCCCCGAGCGCCCCCAACAGCTCTCCGCTGGCCCGTTTCTGAGACGGGAACCGCGAGGCCGGCCCCGCAGCGCCCACCCCCGAGGTCGGGGGGCAGCAGCAAGCGAGCGCCCGACCCTCCCGGACGCAGGGGGTCGCTGGCGGCCGCGGGGGACGGCGGCGCGGCCCCGGGGAGCCGGTACCTGGGCTCCGGCAGGACGATCCTCTTGCTGGCGCGGGCGGCCGGGGTCGCCTTGCTCTTTTCCATCGCCATCAGGTAGCTGACATCGGCCAGCACGGCCTCTAGGTCCGCCATGTTGGCGAGCGGCGGCGGCGGCGGCTCCTCGGAACCGGGACGGGACGCGCTCCCGCCGCCGCCGCCCGCCGCGCCCCGACGTGGGGGGGCCGCCCCGGGGCAGCCCCCCCCGCGCGCTCCCGTCCGCGCGCGCGCACCCTCGCGCGCGCACCGCCCGAGCCTCGCTCAGTGCCCGGCGCGCGCTGCAGCCTCGCGCCCGCCGGGGTCACCCCGCCCCGCCCCCCGCGCACGCGCCCCCGTCCCCGCCCCTTCCGCGAGGGGTCTGCGCGGAGCGCGCGCCCGGCAGTCAGTGCCCCTCGGCGCCAAGGCTGGCGGGCCAGGCCCTCCCGCCCCTCGCCTCCTGACTGCGTCCCCGCAGGCACCGTCCCGCCCTCCCCGCGGGGTGGCCACGAGGGACTTCCTCTCCTCCTCCCCCTCCTCCTGACTTCCCGCCCCTAGCTTCTCGCTCTCACGCCCCTTTCCCCCCCAGAACCACTGCAAGTCGGACTTGGGTGGGACCCCACGCTCACCACCCAAGGGGCAGCGGGGAGGTCTCTGTGCCCTGGGCACGCTAGCTCTCAAACGGGATAGTTCAGTCAGCATTCCTCCAGGTCTGGGTGGCCCCAGCAATGTCCCCGCAGGTGATGCTGAAGCCGCGGTCAGGGTCGCTCTTAAACAGTGCCCCCAAACCCCCTCCAGACCCTGAAATCCCTCCATAAACTCAGCAGAGAATCCCACAGCTGGAGAAAGTCGCTTGTTTCATGCCAATCAGGGTAAAGTGGGGTGCGAGCCCCCCTCCCCACCCCGGGAGCCGAGCTGCCCTTTGGGATCCCACTGATGGAGAAGCTGTCTACTCAAGGTGGTCACGGCTCCGTGGCAGGCAGGCAAGAGGGTTGAGTTTGGGTATGAAAGTGGTCTCTGGGAACTAGTATTCCTGCTCTTGTGGTTATCAGCTCAAGAGACAATGAGGGAGCACCTACTGTGCACACAGACCCACCACCCCCCTGATTAGGGAAGTGGGAAAGCTAGAAGCTGAAACACCAAGGCAAGAGGGAATTTCCAGCTTCCTGATCCTCATTCTCAGTATCTAGTTACCACTCCCCACGTGGGCCTGGGGTTTTCATTTGCTTCTTACTTTTCCACAGCGGTATACACACTAATACACGTTCAGAGCCCATGTGGCACACAGGCGTGGTGTTCAAGGATAGCCAGAAGTCTTCAGAAGACCTGAGCTGGGAATTAACTAGTTTTTTAAAAATCCCTTTAATTCATCCGCATTGATCACGTTGCACCGGGAGCCTAGATTTTAACTAGAATTTGAGTAAGTGTTCTGTCCATTGCTTACAGGGTTAACAGAGTTCACCAGAAATGGTTAAGGTCCAGTGTTGGACATTAACTGTAATGAAGCTGCAGAAGCAGCCTGATTTGGTCATCGAGAGAACCCTGCCCTCTTTTGTTCTCTCTCCCCCTCTCACCATGCCAACCCCTCCCTCGATCTGTTCCCTGTATGCCTGCAATCACAATTGGCTAGTTTTACCAGACATTTCCAAAGATCCACAGCACGATTTTCGTCAAGTTGTCCAGAAAAGGACAAGAAGGGTGTAAGAAGTAAGAACACCAGTCGAAGGAGTTTGGTTGGGCAGCAGAAACTTGAAATGACCAATGAGCACAAAAATACAGGAATGAGACCAAGATTTGTGATTTGCATGAGCTAAATATCAAACTTTCAACTCCCACCCACTTTTTTTGCCTAAAAACAGGAACACAGAATGTCTTGTCAAGGGTCACCCCAGGAGGAGGGGTAAGTTCCCCAAAAAGCCTAACACATTTAATGGTTTAATTAATCCAGTTTCTTTTTTCTAATTTTTTTTTATTTTATTTTATTGATTTATTTTTGGTATAGATGTTTCTCCTTTTTCCCCCATTGACACCCTCCTCCCCATCCCCCCACCCTGTCCCCAGTGTTGTTGTCTATGTCCATCGGTTATGCATAATCCAGTTTCTTTTAATATGTCTTTTTATCATTTGACCTTTCTCATGATCAGATCATCAAATAAATGCATACTTCTGCCTACATTTTTATGATCTTCCAAATACTGAGATTATTAAACTTGCCTCTTTGACTCGTTAAGAATTTTTTTGGTGGTGGTGGGTTTTTTCCTTTTTTGGTTGTTTGTGTGGCAGGGGGTGTTTGTTTGTTTGTTTTGGGGTTTTGCAGCATGGTGTAGTAAGTTTGGGACAAGAGACACACCTGAATTTAAATCTGCCCTTTTCTGACTAGCTGGTGGTCTTAGAGGCAACATATTACATCTCTGTTCTCATTACTACAGAGAGAATGAGGCCACTAACCCCAGCATTGTTGAAAAGACAAAGGAGAAAAAACATGTAAACATGCACCTTGCCAGGACACCTAGTAGGTCTCCGGCAAAGGTTACTGTGCTTCCTCTGTTTATTTTGTTTTATTTTACCCTAGCATGCTAGATACTGAAACTATTCATAGTCTTTATGTTTGAAGCAGGAAGACCCCTCACCAAAAATAACACCTCCCTGGGGCATTTCTAGGAACCCAAAATGGGCAAAAATGATTAGCCTTTATAAACAGAAGCAATTGCTCTTTTAGAAGAAAAAACAAAGAGTCCAAAATTGGATCCCCCTCCACCACTGAAGTCAGCTGACTGGATCCCCCAAGGGTATCTTTCTTTGGTATTAATAGTATGCCAGTTCCCTGTCTCTCTCCTTTGCTCTCTCACTTTCTCCACTCCCTCTTTTTCTTTCCCTGAACTCTCTTAACACTGAACAGTTTTGTTTTTCACTGCAAACAAACGGCATTAATGACAGTGATGAAGTTGTCATAACTGACCTGCTGGATCCTGTTGCTAAACACCATCACCAGCCTGTAATCGTCACAACAAAGAGAAAATAAACAGCCGCCCATTTGTACTCAGCCAATAATGCTCCCTTGCAAATAAGTTCCCTTCCTCCCTTTCCCCCTCCCCCAGCTATTTGAATGACTTTGGGCTCACACTGCTTATGATACTAGATAAAACTCCAGAGTTTGTGTGTGTGCGTGTGTGTTTAATTTTAGGGAGGGGAGGGAGGAGAGAAAGAGAGAAACATCAATGTGTTGTTCCACTGATTTATGCATCCACTGGTTGATTCTTTTTCTTTTTTTTTTTTTTTTTTTATCCTCACCCGAGGACATTTTTTGTTCAGGTAGAGTAGGAGGGAGAGAGAGGAAGAGAGAGAGAGAGAGAGAGAGAGAGAGAGAAACATCGATGTGAAAGGGACACATCGAGTGGCTGCCACCCACACGACCGACCAGGGCCGGGGACAAACTGCAACCAAGGTACATGCCCTTAGCGGGAACCGAACCCGGGTCTCTCAGGACCGCAGGCCAACGCTCTAACCGCTGAGCCAAACCGGCCAGGGCCACTGGTTGATTCTTATATGTACCCTGACCAGGCATCAAGCCAGCAATCTTGGCTTATCAAGGACAGCGCTCTAACCAACTGAGCTACCTGGCCACGCCAAAACTCCAGACTTTTATTGTTCTCTTTTTCTCTTTTCTAGGACTTCTCTTGATTAGGGGGGGAGGTGCGGTGGATGCATTCAAGTTTATACTCCAGGGTTAATTTTGAAAGCAGCTTCAAAAGAAAATGCCAGTGAGAGCTAACTGGTCTTACCTGTTGGAGATTCTGGATTTTACTGGGACTTCCTACTCATAGTGAGAAATCCCTGGACTATCCAAGCTGGATGGGGAGGGGGAGTTATTCCGGAAATTAATCAAGCATACGTGAAAAAAGTCCACCCTAAGACTCCAATTAGAAGATTTTTAACCAGCGATCATACTTGGCCTTAATTCATTTATATCACAATATTTAATCCAATGCCTGCTAAGAGACACTTGATTTTTGCAGTAAGCAGTCCCCTAAATCTAGCTGCTTCTCAAGAAGACCACACACAATGGGGGTTTGAATGAGTTTATTTCCAAACATCTCACTTTGTCAAGTCTGCAGGTATTTCTAGCACACTGCGGCTGCTGTCCCATTTCACCCGTATCTTTTGATCACATTCTGCCTGGTCCCACACATCATAGGAACTGCTTCTATGCGATTTTAACGGCAAAGCTTTACAGACTTGAAAGGCCGCTCTACCCGGCACAACGCGGTACTTTCAAAGATCTGCCAAAAGGTACGAATCCGAGCTTTGGTTTGCATAGCACTGAAATGATGTTCCATGCAGAAGCGCCTTCCTTTAAATAGGTGGGTGGAAACAAATTTCTCTACAGGGGCTCCTGGTCAGGGAGTTCCCCTCGAAAAAGAAGCCGTGCAGAGTTGCGGTTCAGAGCGTGGGCCCAGAAACCAGATGGCCTCAATTAGAACCGCAGTGCCGGTGTGTCTGTGCAGTGTGACCTTGGACCTGTTGCCTAATCTCTCTGCCTCAGCACTCTCGGTAGCACTAATGGGATTTCTAGGAGAATAATATGGTAACATGAAAGCCCTTAGGACAGTGTCTGGGACATAGAACGCACCTCAAAAATATTGTCATGTTTCTCCTCATTGTCACTGGAGTGTCTCTATATCATGCAGGGCATGATGGAAGGAGACCAGTCCTGGGAGTGGAAAGCACAGCTGGATACGACTGGCTGGGTCTGGCGTTGCAGAGTAACTATAAGCAAGTCTCCTAAGCTTTTAAAATCTCCGTGTCCACCGCTACTTTTTTTTTTTTTTTCCTTTATTGATTTTTAGAGACAGAGGAAGGGAGAGGGAGAGAGAGAAACAGCGATGAGAGAGAACATTGGTTGGTTGCCTCCTGCATGCCCCCCACTGGGAACTGGGCCCACAACCTGGGCATGTGCCCTGACCAGGAATCGAACCGGTGACCTCTTGGTGCATGGTCAATGCTCAACCAGTGAGCCAAACTGGCCAGGCTCCACCACTACTTAATGAAGCTGTGGGTGAGCTGGTCCCCGAGGCCCCTTCCAATTCTAGAATTCTCTGGCTTTATTTAGTCCTGTGGTGAGTCCCCTTGCAAGGTGAAGAATACTCAC